GGGACCGCAGCCGCAGGCAGGCGGGTGCAGGGGCGTTGGGCGAGGGGAGAGGGCCGGAGTCAGGGCCCGGGGTGAGGCCGCTGCTGGGCGGCCTGTGCCCCTGCTCCTCACCCCCCCGCGCCGGGGAGCCGGGAAGTGGGGAACTGCAGCTGCCAGCTTCACTCCGTCCTTCTGCTGGTGAGGGATTTGTTTTCTGTGCACCGAGTGTGTGAGATCGGTGCTGCTTAAGTAATTACGAGTTATGAATATGTGTGCAAGATTTCAGTTGCATTAACTGTGTTAAATCTCTGATGAGACTGGGGTTTACTTGGTTAGGTACACTGTATTTTCTAGGGGGAGCAACCTGGGATGGCAATAATGTTTCGGTTACTGATCTACAGTACACCAATATATGTTAACAAATACTGTCTTGTTATACAGCGTTAAAATGTCATCATCATCACAGTCATCCTCATCTTTACCGGTACATAACTGTACTGCTCCTTTATTGGACTTTGATCTTCAGGAAAAGTTTTTTCTTCCTCATGCTGCTGAGGCAAGTTCATTCTGTTCCTGTTAAACTTGATTTTTTTTCATTCTATTTACTCTGTGAACAAGATTCAAAACATATTTCAAAACGTGCTTCCTGGCTGCAGATGGGAAGTAGGTGATATTTCAAAAAATGGGCAAGAGTGCTGGACATAAAAATGGTACACTGAAACTATGGAAAAATTCTTACTTGTTTTTTTCTGCTGACATAGATGGGCTAAGACAAATGAAACACAGTGTTTAATCTTCCAAGATGGTGTTTCCACTGGAAGTAATTAAATTCAAGAACTTAGTTTTGGTTATATAACCAAGAAAAAGCTATAGAGACCTGCAGCATGTTATACAAGTTGAGGTCTGCCAGGAAATGTAAGCTTGTAATAAACCAAGACACATAAATATATATATATATATAAAATTAAAAAACAATAGACATTTTGAGTGTAGTTATTTACCTTATGGCAACAGTTGGAAGCAGAGCAGTCTACATTCTGATTCTGCGAGGAAGTGATTTTTTTAAGTTGGGAACTTCTCAATTTCTGTTACTCATTATCTCAATTATGCTAAGGAGATACGGATGTAAGAATATAAACTCAGTCTGAAAATCCTTGCGATGGAAAAACCTGGCACAAGCTGAAAGCAGGAGAAATGGATCCTGATGGGTGGAGAAGGCAAGACAATCTACTCCTGAAAAGTAATTGGTAGTCAGTGGAGCACTGAGTGAAGTAAACAGATAACTTTGTGCTTTGCCAGGGCATCAATCATGCTAGATTGTGAGGGTAGGGGCAGGAGAGAGGTGTTTGGAGAAGGGGTGAGGGTGACGGCAGGTTCCTGGAAGTGGGGGAATGGGATGCATTTAGGTAGTAGACACCGATACTTGGCTCTGGACTTGTCATGGCACAGGCAGCATCGTGTTCCTGGGCAGCTTTGCCTGCTGAGGACCTCTTCCAAACTGGGAAATTAGAAGAGCCATTGTTGCCTCCAAACTGGAAGAATTCTGCTGTGAAACATAGTATCGGCGTCTGACCAGGATTTGGCCTCCACCTTTACTGGAGGTAAACTGTTTGCCTTATAGATTAGGTGTGTTCTGTGAGCGATCAGTTTGAGGGTACATCCTGTGACACCACAGGCTTTTTACCCTTGTTGGAAGTCATGAATACGACATTTCTTTGATCTTTAAAATTTCTCCTAAATCACAGAATCACAGAATGGTAGGGGTTGCAAGGAACCTTTGGCGATCATCTAGTCCAGCTCCCCTGCCAAAGCAGGTTCACCTACAGCAAGTTGGACAGGCATGCATCCAGGCGGGTTTTGAATGTCTCCAGAGGAGGAGACTCCACAGCCTCTCTGGGCAGCCTGTTCCAGTGCTCTGTCACCCTCAAAGTAAAGAAGCTTTTCCTCGTGTTCAGATGGAATTTCCTGTGTACCAATTTGTGCCTGTTGCCCCTTGTCCTATTGCTGGGCACCACTGAAAAGAGTCTGGCCCCATCCTCTTGACACCCACCCGTTAGATATTTATATGCATTGATGAGATCCCCTGACAGCCTTCTCTTCTCCAGGCTAAACAGACCCAGGTTTCTCAGCCTTTCCTCATAAGAGAGGTGCTCCATTCCCTTCATCATCTTTGTAGCCCTCTGGTGAACTCTCTCCAGTAGTTCCTGGTCTTTCTTGAACTGGGGAGCCCGGAACAGGACACAGTACTCCAGATGCGGCCTCACCAGGGCAGACTAGAGGGGGAGGATGACCTCTCTCAACCTGCTGGCCACACTCTTTTAAGTGCGTTCCAGGATACCATTGGCCTTCTTGGCCACAAGGACACACTGCAGGCTCATGGTCATCCTGTTGTCCACCAGGACTCCCAGGTACCTCTGTGCAGAGCTGCTTTCCAGCAGGTCAGCCCCTAACCTATACCAATGCATGGGGTTATTCCTCCCTAGCTGCAATACCTTACACTTGTCCTTGTTGAACTTCGTTAGGTTCCTCTCTGCCCGACACTTTAGCCTGTCCTGATCTCGCTGAATGGTGGCACAGCCCTTGTGGTTTGTCAGCCACTCCTCACAGTTTTGTGTCATCAGCAAACTTGTTACACTCTCTTCCTTCATCCAAGTCATTGTTAAATATGATGAACAGGGCTGGGCCCAGTACTGACCCCTGGGGACCACCACTAGCTACAGGGCCTCCAACTGGAGTCTGCCCACTGATCACAACCCTCTGAGCTCTGCCATTCAGCCAATTCTCAATCCACCTCACTGCCCACTCATCTAACCCACACTTCCTAAGCTTACCTATGATTCTCCTGAACAGCTAACTTGTTTTATGTTGATATCCTTGAATTAGCAAGATCAGTGTGCTAACTGTGAGTGATACTGAATATTACATAATTGTGAATGTTGTTTCAGGGAAAAACTTATGTGCCACCTGGAGATGCAGGAAAACTCTGTTCACTGATTTAGCCATAGAAAAAGGATTATCATGGAACTACAAAAGCCATCCAAGATGGAAAATATTTTACTGATCTAAGCAAAGAATCTGACAGTTTAGAACACCAAGTATATGTAAGGCATAAACATGGAACTAATGCGAATATACATTTCTTACATGAGTCTTGAACTAACATTTAGTCTTACCACCTTCTTAAATAGACATACTGGGAAAATTTTTTTTGTTATGTCCTGTGCAAAGCCCTGTGCCTGCAAAGTTGGAAGGAATTTGGCAGGCTATGTATGTTAAAACAGGAGGTGGATCACAATGAATTCCTGTTTCAACAGAAGTGTCATATGGAACTTGCACAGAAACCCGATGGAGTGAAGAACGTAGATTTCTTGTAAAATTAAATGTGATTTGTCATTGCTGACTTTCTTCACTTTCTTTCAGAAGTCACAAAGCTAACCTTTTTTTTTCTTGCAAGCTAAAAGAGATGGGTGTTTATTCTGATTTTTTTTTTTTTATTTTAAAGATAATACTCTTGATTTTCAGGTTTTCATAGACAATGCTAGCTGTGTTACAGCATAAGGCTTTTTGTTGATCATTAGAGAGAAAGTTCATAGAGAAGTAACTGTGGAGAAGACAATTTCCTGAGAATGGAAAGATGATATGAGTAATTTAGGTTTCTAGTCACTTCTCAATTCTGGGAAGTCTTCTAAGCACTTCTGGTTTGGTAATAAATTTCTGTGGGGTCACAAAACACCATTCCTGTTTATATATTAGGTTTTTGCTGATAGCAAATCTGACGCAGTGTAATCAGGAAAGGATAGGACTGCTGCTGAATACAATGGTTATAAGTTTGCAGTGTGTGCAGAGGTCGAAACCTGGATGTAGAATTGAGGTCAAAATACTGACTTTACAGATAAACATGGGATCAAGAATACAGAACATTCTGAGGAATTACATGCAGGCTAGGATAAGACAAATGCTTTGCAAGGAGTTGTAGTAAAACTTTTGATGCCAAAGTTTCCACCTTGAGGCAGTGGGTTTATCTTTTCACTAGTGAAATGAAAATGCTTAGGATTTACAATCTGAAATTCCCACAAGTCTTTTTTTTTTTTTTAAATGGAAGGTTACCCCACCCCCAGATTCAGATGTTTTAAAATGAGAAGTTTAGTCAACAATATTATAAGCACATAAATTCTTTTTGATTTGTATTAAGAGTTAATGTAGGTTGATTTTTGTGTTGTCCCAGCCTATGCATTCTGGTTCAGTCTTCAAATTCTCCTATCTAACTGAAGTTCCTGAAAGGTTTTAATACTTAATATTAATCTTTAAAATATTATGAGTTGTAAAAATGCTTTTACTATTCGACTACGTGTTTAAATAACGCTTAAGTATTTATGGTATTTAGAGTCTTTTTAGCTAAAATAAAGAATGAAATTGGTGAATGGAATGACCCTAGTTTGTTTTCTTCAGCTACGAAGTTCTGTGCACAAAATAAATTGAATCTTTAGGGTTTAAACCACCAACTCGAAGTAGCTCATGGGTATGCGAGCTTTTATATTCATATGTACCACATTTGAAAATGTAGCAAATTATATGTACTAAGTTCAAAACCATTGAAAACATGCTAAATCAATTATAATCAGAAGTAATTTTTTAATGTTTCCCACTTCTGTCTTGCAGTTAAACAGCAAAAACATGGACACGTTGGTGCAGAAGTTAAGTGAAAATGAAACTCAAAATACTGTAAGTAAATTAAAATTTCGGTCTCTTTTTGTTCTACGCTGTACATCTGAAAATGGGTCCGTCATGGGATCATACAATTTCAAGTGACAGTGGCAAAGTGGGAATGTTTGTGGTTTATCATCAAAAAATGGAATTGTAGCTTTACAGCTGAAATGTTCATCAGTGTGCATTACTGTTGCATTGCTGTGTACAGACATTAAAATAATTTCTTTGTTATTTTTTTTTTTCCATGAAGAATCTCAGGAGAAAAATACTTGAAAGGGAGAAACATGTTAAAGAACTTTCATCCAGGCTTCAGCTTGAAAAAGTGAGTGACCAGTTCTGTTGGAATGAATGTTTTCTCCCAGTGTACTAGATTCTTATTTACAAATTTTAAATGTTGACAAAAGCAATTATTTCAAGCATCTTTGCAAAAAAGGAAAATCCTGAAGGATGTTTCCTACAGAAATATCTTAAAACCATCAAGACGGTATCCAAACCTATTAACGATGCAGGTTTCCTTAATAGTAATGTCTCACGGTTCATGGAGGGGCATACATCTAGACTAGTGGCTTTTGGCTTTTCATTTGCAGTAGTTCTGGAAAAAAGTATTTATAATGAAGTAATACAGAGTAAACTAAACAGGCACTGCTCACAGTTTCCATGTCTCTTTGGGCTCAGTGAATAGGGAAAGGTAGTACTGACAGCAGAGCTAATATCAAAGGCTGGCAAGAGCTCATTCGTTCTCTGAACCAAAGGAAGGGGCTCAGCACGGAAACCAACACAGGAAGAGAAGAATTGTCTGTCCTGTATAAGGAGGTACTATAAAAGTTTCAAAAGTTTCAAAATTATTTTACTGCTAGTTTATCAATCTGTGTTACAGTACCTGTATACCTAAAGTGCACTTTATGTGTATGTAGTGCAGCGTGGTTCAGTGTTAGCGAGGGACAGAGTAGGCTCTGTTAAACCTTTAAGGGGACAATGGTGTACTTTGATTTTTGTAGCTCCGTGGGGTTTGTTGACAGCCATGATTGTTCTTTAAGAATTCTTCTTTTCTTAACCAAGAGAACATATCACTTGGCTGCAGAATAAACTTAGCCAGCTAATTGCAATAGAGGAGCCTGTGAGGGTGCCCAAATTCACACTTGGCAATTGGCATTTCCTCATCTTTATCTTGAAGTGAAGCAGCAGGTTTTCATAGAAACATCCTTTTGCTTGAGAGTAGAAATGCTGAACAGAAAAGCCTATAAAGTTCTGAAGACCACAATTCCAGCAAATGTCAGCATTGATGGGATCTGTGCAGCATGCCATGCCCTGACTAGAGATCTATCTAATGTTGAACAATTCGGGGTGCTCAGCATCTGAAGGGATAAATGATTATCTGTGCTATCGCCTTGTTCCTTCTTGTGTTATCTCCAATAAATGGCATTTTCATCAGTACCTGACTGAGTCTGAGTCTGCCTTTCTTACTGGTATCTGTAATGAACGCTTGCACTGGTGCATTACAGTGTTATTCTTGTCTACTGATAATATGACTTCTTTCTACCTGTTTTCATTATCTGTTATTTAGAATGAGCCAAAGGAACCAAGTTGCAAGACATTTCATAGAATCATTTGTCCTCATTATGGTGACATAAGTTGACTCTTCCCTTATGCTTCATGTATCCCTCCCAAAATTAGAGTTTGAGTTAAATGTATCAATACTTCTAATAGCAGGTGGTGGTCTTTGGTATTTTGTGAAGATCAGTTCAGATCTAATTAGTCAGGGCAGAGCTGATCAGCGTGGCTTGGTTTTGGTCAACCTGCTAGTTAGATGCCTTTGCTCAGCCTGGATTTCCGAGTTTGTGCTTCCAGGCCTTATTCATACTACTTAAAGAGTCAGATTAAATATGAGGCATCAATTATACATACATTCTTTCAAGTCTGTGATTTCTGTTTAACATTAATAACATTAGTAACAAGTTACTGCTTGTGAATATACTTGTAGAACATGTTTTATCTTTTCCAGCTTTTGAGAACATTCAAATCACAGAAACTGCAGCAAAGTAGAAAGAATACAGATAGCATCATACGACTTACCTCCATAGACCAATAGATTTGTGTTTATTTCTCTTTCTTAGGTCAATATACAGAAAGAAGACCACCTGTCGAGATCCGTAAAAGCAGTACAAGCTCACCTGCAATGTCAGATTCAAAGAAAAGAAATGGAAAATGATGAATTAAAAGTGAAAATACAGGTCAACATATTTTTACTCATGTTACAGTTTATTTGAAAAAATTAGCAAAGCCCTACTTTGGTCAGAGTTTAACTCAGATGTGAGAGTTAAAGTATCACTTGAAATCAAACTCTTGGTAAAAGAAAAATCCTGAACAGTAAACATCATTGGCATTTATATTTTGCAGTCTGCCTGCCCACACTATCTTAATGGCAAGGTTTTGTTTTTTTTTTTTTTTTCTTTTCTCAACTTGTACATACTAACAGTTCTGCTGAAGAGAATTTAGTGTCACAAAGAAGCATTTCCTATCTAGAAGATAGATAGCAATCCTGAGGCAGTCTCCATGTAGTCAATGGAATGAGATAGGCAAGTCCCCAGGATGAGGTTCTGTTGTGAGATAAGCATGAGGAATCACCACCTGTTTCTTTTTATTGACTGTGAAGGAATCAATAAACCTCTTAATACTGACTGAAAGAGAAACACTTAAGACTAATGTCTAACCTCACTTTGTTTAAGGTAGGTGAAATTGTTTCCATTTTCTGTTCAAAAAAGCAAGATGTAAATTTGGGCATTTGCATCAGTTACTGGCTTTAGAACAAGGCAAGGAAAATATTGTTTCAGAGACTGGAGTAGTCTGTGGCTTCAGATTTCAGTATTTGAAACTCGTCAAGAACGTAAGCATGAATGACCAAACATTGGCTAAAAAATAATGTATTTCTAATTTCCAAACTTTTTTTAGTAGCATACATCCCTGTTTAATTGTATCATTTGAAGTTAAGGATCCTATAGCAGCTGAATTTCACATATGCCTATGTCTGTATAAATACCTCATGTTTTCTTCTGAATAGAAATTCCTTTCTTATTCTACTACCTGGTACAATTACAGAGTTCCAACAACATTTTCATTAGTTACAGTAACTTGATATGCAACTGTATTTTCATTCAATCTCTATTTAAAAGTTTTGTTTGCTCTTCAAAAAGTGCTGCAGTCAGTTGCTAGCTTAGATCTTGATGATGATTTTGTTAATATCTAGACAAAAACTTGCAAAAGCTTAGGCTTACCCTTATGAAATTAATTCTTAATTTAAATTTACTTCAGCAACTGAATAATGCCCAAAGCACTTATTCTCAGTGTGATTGTGACCTCCTGCGGTTAGAACAGGGGATAACAGTCGTTTACTTATACAACAGTTAAAGTCCATACCTAAACTCGGATTTTCTGTTTGCTGTATTTATTGAAGGTGTTCTTTTGCCACGCCCCCCCAAGTCACATCTTTGTTTATTGAGTGCCTTATAAGCATCTATATACGAAAACTGTTTCCTGCATATTTGCATTTTTTGAAGTAGTACTTCTCCTTTTTGGTGAGTCCCAGTACCTGAGACCATCTTTTACTTGGAAAAGCACATGCATTGAATAAAGCTGCCACATTAACGTAGTCAGCAGGTAAATGGCATGTCATTCTGGTCTTTATTCAGGTAGAATGTAATTAAGTGTCATGTCAGACCTAGACTCAAATGTAGGAAACAAATGCATTAATCATTCTTACAATTACGATATTTATCAGTGACTTGGGACAAATTTTACACTGCTAGCCTACTTACATTGCTGTAGTTTGACAGAAGAATAATAAGTTATATGAATGGAACTTGCACTTGTCTTTATGAAAGTAGTTGTCTACTGCTAGCTAGGTCATTTTTTTGATAAGCTGTAGCACCTTAAAAATAATTGCATCTGAGATTCTCCTTGAAGCAGAGCCCAGTATTGCTTTTATTGTATGTCATCATGTAGTGTCTTAATGTCTGGTCTCTTTTTCCATTCATATTTAAATAACAAGTGATATGTAGATGAAAAATACAAAAGTCATGAAGTTAGAGATGTCAGCTTCCTGGACGGGATGGGATCCGTACACTGCCTTCATCAGAGTGATGTAAAAATCTAGTTAGTCAGAAATACTAACAGCAATAGGAAAGATAATATGATGACAGTTGTAGAACCCAGCTCTCATCTCAATTGCATTGTACACATTTGATATTTAACGCAAATGTATTTTTACATATATTTAACTAAAAAGACATTTAATGCAAATGTATTTTATTTCCTGAATGCTGCAAAATTAAGCACTCAGGAAGTTAGTTATTTGTTGCCCTTACAATGTGTGATTTGCAGATGTGGTTTAAGCTTCATCATAGCCTGTTTTAATTACCTTGAAACAATTGTCTGCTGTGGGCAAGGCAGCGCTTAGCATTTTCTTTTTGCATTTTCTGCTCCACTTTCCACTGAACATAAAATATAGCTTTCCATTAAAAAACAGTTTCTTCACTGAACAGTTCTGTTTCATTAACAGAGTGGGGCCGTTATAAACGTGGGAAAAAGTCAGACATCTTGCAAGAAAATACTATATTGTCATCTAATTACAGACCATATTGCAATAATAATTGTTTCCTAGCTTCTTGACTTAAGAAAAGCAAATCCCAGACCTTAACTTTCATATTGAAATTTTGTATGCAGTTATACTGATCTCCAGCCCTAGTTACCTGTGTGCTCGCTATAGATTCACTACATCAGTGAATATCACTAGGTGCATCGTTAAGCTGATATTTGCAGAAATCAGTCACTAGGGATGATGAAACCACTTTATTTTCCTCATCATAAATGGGCCATGCCTTCTACATTGTAATTCTGCATTCATTTCCAAGAGCACACAGCAATGGCTATATTTCCCTCTTTCCCCCTACTCCTTCCTGCTTTTGCACCTCCTCAACCTTGTCTCTTGATCGTCTTAATAATGAGTTTCCCAACGTGTCTTTTCCCTTGCCTACTGCTGTACATACCTTGGCTAGCTCCTTCTATCAACCACAAGATTTGAGATATAGAGACATTATGGAAACAGATTATAAATGTAATTGGTAATCCTGACTATGTTATGTCACAAGAATGTATAGAATTTGAAAATAGTTGATGTTAATTATGCTTCAGACTCTAGAAAAGACAATAGCGGGGTGGAAGCTTCAAGTTGGTGAATACAGGCACCAGATGTTAGCCTTACGAGAAACAAGTGAGCAAAAGAAGACTGCTCTAAAAAAAGCAATCAAGTCCCAGAAACAAAGAGCTGAATGCTTTGAAACAGCTGTGGAAAATTTAACCTCCAGAATAAGAGAACACGTGAGTGACTACGCTTTGAGCAATGTTGTGCTGTATTGCTTTAAACTGAACAACTGGGAGACTTTCACCTGCAGAAAATAGGAAAAGTTGGTTGGTCATGCTGTGTTTGTGTCTCTTATTTTTTTGCTCCTTGCTTAAGGAAAAGGTTGCTATAAGTGACGTGCAAACTGTAATTACATTCACTGTCTTTGTTTTGTTAAAATTTAGTGAGTATCTTCAGCCATGAGGTTGAACACTTCAAACTGTAGTAAGGGGAGTCTGATCAGCTTTCACTTACACCTCTCCTGATCTTCCTGTTAGACCTTTATGGATATACACTCAAAAGTACAGTATACTAACTAAGAATCCATGATTGGAGTTTGAAGTCCTTGTTTTCTTTATTTATTGGTGTATGATATCTCATGTGGATACTTAGCTTTCTGTTTCTAAGCTGCTGAAACTTTTCAAAATCCAAGTACAGAACTTCCTTAATCGGAATGATTCCTTATATTCTTGCCCTAATTGTGTCTAATTGTTCAAAAAGGCCAGATGGATCAGAACTGTGCTGAGATCTTTATTGCCTTATTTAAATTTCCTAATAAGAGTGTGTTTTCATACTCTTAGATGTGTCACCATCATTTTGGATATGCCAGTATTAAAGATATTTTTTTCCAGTTAGTATGTCAGGAGATGGTTAATAATGTTTTTTGTTTTCTTTGATCTTTGTGACAAGACAGTAGTGGATCTTTAAGTAGACTTCACAGCACAGAGGGATGGCAACTAACTCCTGAACTTTTGATGTTTCGTAGTCACACTGTTGTTCTCTGTCGTCATTGAAGACCTGGTGCACTTTCAAGATAGCATGTGTTGGTTAATTATCCATACTTCTTTGAGGGACTTTACCTAACTTTGTACTTCTTACTTACCTATTATTTTTTATTCTTAAAATGTTCTGGCAGAATTTTATTTTTGTAGTAATTTATGTAATTTATATGTAGTAGAGATATATTGGGGACAAATATTTTTGTTGTAAGAAAAGATTTTAATCTTAAATTTTGAAATATTGTTGTATTCTAGTGTTGATATACAGTGCCACTGTTTTACTGTGTATCTGCCTTGAAACTAAGTCTGTACTTAGACTTCAATTTTTTTAAAATGTGGGTAGTTTTGTTTATTTTCTTTTGAGATGAGACAAAATTTACATTGCTTTGTAGTAGGGAGATCCAATAAAGCCATCTCATCTTAAATAGCTCTTGTGTTTAGAAAAGTTTGTAGAACTAGATGGCATTCTTCAGTGACATTCTTTTGTTACATAATTTGTAATTCCTGTATTCTCTAGGAAGTCAAACTGTCTGAGATACTGTCAGCTTCTGATGTCTGGAAAAGCCAGCATGATAGAATGGTTGAAGGAAAGACCACATTAGAAATTCAAAGAGAAGATCTTAAGAAGTAAGTTAACCTGTTGATCTATTTTTTTTGTTTCTGTAGTCAGACAGTGTTGGCATTTAGTAGTGTAGTACTCAGTGTTGACAATGAAAACAAGTTTATGTATTCATATTTCATAATTTAGAAGTTGGAAACTAGAACAAATTTAATATTTCTAACCTTCTCTCTGCTGCATTTCACAACTTTTTTTAAAAACTTCATTCCCCCATACAAGTAAGGAACATATTCTTTCCCCCGCATGCTTCTGATTAGTCTGAACTTGCTAGTAGCTACTATGCTGCTTCCTCAGAACCACTTATTTAGTAACTGATTCAACAGCTTGAGTGTTAACCCTTGTGTCTACTGCACTATAGAAGAAGGTTCTTGGGCTTCTAGTTTCTACTTCAGACTAATGTAAAAATTACTTCAGTTCTACTAATGTCTCACCCCACTAGAGGACAGAGAAGGGTTCCTCTCAGATGTGCATTCAAACAGTTTATTCTCGTAAAGAAAAGCAACACAAAATTATCCAACCTTATTCAAAGTACACTGTCAAATCTTAATTTACATGAAGCATATGACATTTTCTTTGGCAGCTGATGACGAACACTTTTTTACCTTTTCTGTCAGTAGAAACATGGGCTGTAATTCAAATTAGCAAAAGAAACTGGTAGGTGCCTTTATTCTAGGTCTAAGGCAGAATGTATACTTTACAAAGAACTTGATTCATACTCAAATATGTAGCAGCTCAATTTAAATTGGCTTCACTCTTTTGTATTTGTTTCAGAAAACCTGACATTTGAAAAATATTTTTAGTATATTTTAAATTTAACAGGAGTGCAGGTACATGACATCAGTCCAGAAATCTGTGTAGCCCACTATTGGTGCAGTGTATATGAGGAGGCATCTAGGACAGAATAAGAAAAGGCAAACATCTATGATACTTCCCTCAAGTACTCATTCTCCTTCTAGCTGTTTTTTGCTGATTTTATTTTAGCTGAAAATTTAAGTCTTTGCTTGAAATGTAGCATTCTAGCAAGACTTGTTCTACTAGGCAGTGTATGACTAACTAAACAGCGAAACAAATTTCATTGTTTAACTTCATTAACATGAAAAACAAATGGTAAGGCACAGCACAATTTGTTGCTTTTAATAATGGCAAGTACCGTTCCTAAACTAGCTATGGAATGTTCTTAGTAGGACCTTATCTGATAGACCCTATAAATTCAATGTCATTCCATTTTGTACAGTATGTGTATACATAGTTGTCTTGGAAGTATGCTTGGGTGTTCTAGGTAATGAATTTATTTATAAATGAGCTAGGACCACTTACTTAGTGGACCACTCTTTTGGATAGTTTTTTATTTCAATAGATACTCCTTTCTTGGGATGCTTAAATGCATTCTCCCCCTTTAAAAAAAAAAAAAAAAGAACAACGAAGTAGTATGTGTTAAGGTACAATTTAATTTGCATACTGAGAGTTTTGGAAGTGTTGTATATTGTGCCGAAGTTCTTGCTTATCTAACAAGGCAGATCACAAGCCTTTTGGAAGCCCTGAAAAGAAAGGAGGAATGGAGAAGAAATTCAGATGAGGAAATTTTTGGAAAGCTAAAATCTGTTAACTCTGAAAATGAAAAGATTTGCCTTGAAAATGAGAAATTAAAGGTGAGATCATTGTAAATCATTGTTGAGTGGCTCTGCATTTCTGATACATTAATGAAGTAACCACATTAATTCCCCTTGGGACTTCTGTCTAGAGATCCCAAACCTGTAGAATAAATTTTTCTGTCCCATTTTTTACAGTAAGTGAAGATGAGACATTAAAAATTTATCAGTGGAAATCTATGGCAAAGTTAGGAACAGTATTGTCTAATCATCTGATTAACCAGGATGGCATTTATTTTACTGTCAGTCGCTACAAAATTGCTTAACTAGAAATTGTTCTTTTATGTTTATAAACCTGTCTTTCAAATTAAAGAACTAAGTATAGCTCAATTATTAATTTCAAGTTTTAAAGGATTTATAGGTTTTGTATTGTATTTATCCTCCAAAGTAAAAGTTCTCATAAGCTGACAAATTAAGTGTGGGCTATCATTTTTGTTTGACTGGATAAAGAATTGTGTCACTCTTTTTAATACCTGCAGGTCACTTGCTAGTAATATATTGTAGCGTGGGTTATTTTAATAACACTCTTACAATTTTTATATTTTCCATGTTTTAATCAAGGCTTACCTTGCTACATTAGAAAACAGTACTGTTTCTGTTGAAAATGAGCTGCTAAATCTGCAAGCAAAGGCAAAGCTGCAGGAAAATCTTGTTGAAGAGTACAAAAATCAGGTGACTACCATATTTGAAATGTTCAAGTATGGTTTTTAAATTTGTAAGCAATTTTGAGGAAACGATAAAGGTTTTGTTTGTAATAAACCAGATTTGTTGTCCTGGTGATTGTAATACTGTTGTAACATTGAAGATGATAGAAGAGAGTGCCATAACAAACTATATCCAAGAATAGTCTCCACACTATTACTAGTACACATAATCCTTACCGAATTGTGTGAAGGCCAGTTGAAGCTCATTGAAGCCAACAAAGCTAATTACATACTTGCTTAGAAAAGATTTCCTTCCTAAAAAGCAAGTTGGCAACCCAGTAAACTCTACTTTAAAAGTAAACTTTGAGTCTGATGTCTTTAATGGACATATCCAATGATATTTTACCTCTCCTTGGTCATATCTTTATTTCCACATTCCTAAGAACAGTAAACCAGCATTCAAGTACTGTTGTAAGAGTCTTTTTATTTATATAGGTATCTCCACACTGAAACTACCAGCAAAACATATAAATCGGGCTTAAAATGAGCATTTTATCAATTCCTTTTTTTTGGTATTTGGCTTTATTCACAAAGAAGAAATTTTAGAACATTGATTCAAAATTGTCTATATTTCTGCTATAGTATAGACACCATTTCACTGACATTCTTCACTTATCTCTTTTTAAAATCATTGATGAGAGAAAAGGCATGGTGCAGAATCTAAGTACAACCAGTGTGCCTTATCTGTGGAATGCATCACCACAATTAAAGTTGTTGCCAGCTTTAAGATGGGAGATGTAATTCCAGGGAACAGCCAGCCTTAAGCAGTGAGTGGGATGAAATTCCCTAGGTCATACCTGTGGTGACTCCAGAGGGGAACTGGGGGGCGAACTTTCTGGAGAGAGAAAGGTGAGTCATACTGGCTGCTTCTGTAGCACAACTGTAGCTTATTCTCTGTTGTTGAAAACAAAATGTTGGTATCACAGTGTTTTTACCAGGTTATCCTTTTATATTTGCTGTGGTGTGTAGGATAATGAAAATAAGTAACTTCATATAATGAAAAATATTGAGAATCTATTTAGAAATCAAAGGTTTTCCTTTAAGCTTCATAGTAATGGTTGTATTTTTTCTATATTTAAAGAAACAACTTGCAAATGTATGTGAAAAATATATGCTGTCCTAGGTACAAAAATTACAAACAGCAGTAGAAGAATTGAAATCCAGATGTGGAATAGTCTTAAATGAAAGCAAAAGAATAACAGAAAACAAATGCTTAGAAGTAGATAAGGTAAGTTTTGCAGTAATAAAGCTTTTTTCCAAACAATTCTGTAGGACATTGATCTTTCCTACGTTATTGTGATGCACTTATTACAAGTCACAAGGTACTGGCTCTTTTTCATGTATAAAATTGTTTTTAAATTAATTGAATGTTTTACTAACTCTTACTTGTGAACTGGTGGGTTTTGGGATACTACACAATTGCAAATGGTTGAGAAATTATTCCTAGCATAATCCTTTTAAATGTAATTTTGTTGTTGATGATTTTAAAACTAGATCTCTCACCAGAACAGCTGTGAAAGTTGCATAGGGAAGCAAACCTACTGTAAGACTGCTTTGTTTTAACTAGCAGTTTAAACAGAGAATCCGTACAGAGATGAGTTTTAAGTTTTTCAGAATTTTTCCTATAAGCTGCTTAGTGTGTCTGTATGCCATCTCTTAAAATATATGGCAATAAAAATAAAATCAAAATGTGGGTATTGCATGATGAACTGCTAACACTTGCATAATTTTGTAAATTGTAATTGTGAATGTTACCGAGTCTTTAATGAAACGTAGTCAGAGATGGAAAATTCTCCAATGGTGAACTTGTATTGTCAGTATTTTATAAAATAGGTGCCATTATGCAACTTGTGTAGAATTTCAGATTTATTACTTACATGGAAAGCCATTAAGTATTACAACAATTAATTTATGGTTTTACACTTACATTTTTCTCCTGTGATGCTACTATGCTACTATACGGAGGTTGAGTTAAAGCAGTTAGAACATGTTTGTGACTTGCTGAAAGCAGCTGAAGAAAAGCAGCAAGGATATCAGGAAAAGCTTGTGTCCTGGGAAAGGATCCATGCACAGAAATGCAAAACCCTTCAGGAGCTGCAGGTTCAGGTGCTTAGAACATGCTGACTTTTAAAGATAAATGAGAAAATTATGTGGAAGAAAGTCTCTGGAACTTTTTTTTTTCTTATTAGTGTGTGTGACAGTTGCGCGGTTTCCTTTGTTATTTGCTTCATAAATCAAAAGCTGCTTCTGTAGAAATAGCATAATGCAAATAAAACTATTGCCAACTGTATTTATGTGAATTCAGTTTGTGACAAGACTAGTTACTTTTAGATTCTGTATCTTTTAAGGGAGTATATTCTTGATCTTTTTGAATACTTATGTCCTGAGATGTACTGCAGAATTCTTCCCTGGAAATAAATGTGCAAGTCTAGTTATTGTTTTTATCTAGTGGAATAGTTTAATTCCACATTAGTTTTGTTTTTAATGACTAATTTATAAACCAGACAATATTTGCTCAGATGGTCGTAAATTATATAGTTGATGATGTAGGACTTGTAATGATTATGTTGTGTTGGTTGACAAAATACTTTTTAAAATATGCTTTGATAGGATCATTTCTATTTTTAGCAGTATTTTAGCACTGCTGCTTGTATTTTCTCTGAAGCGTGAATATGAATATTCCTCAGTTGGTTTTTTTTTCTGTGACATCAATTTCAATGGCAGGGCTAAGTTTGGGGGGTTTTGTTATTCTCTTTTCTCTCTCTCTTTTTTTTTTTTTTTTTAAATGCGCTTTTGAGTTAGAAGAGAATACTCTGCTAGCACGAATGACAAAGGTTTGAATCAGTAGGCTGGCAAAGGGGTTTAATCTTACTGTGTCAGTGGGAAAACTTCAGCTGAAACACAGTGAGTGTCTGTGTCCCTGTAGCCTTTATATGCTTTTTAAAGAAATAGTTCTTGATTTTGTTTCAAATTTCTTGTCAAGATGATCTTTTATAGCATCAAATTTTGTTCTTGTTTGTGTCATTTTAAATACTCCTTACAGGAATGCTTATAAGCTCATAAATTGATCTTTGCTTAGCAAAGTACTTAAGCAACAATTAATTTTGAGGTGCATATGTAAAATGAGGTATGTAATTTTAACCTAACTACATGTTTTCCTGAATAAATGCAAAAAAACTTTTAAGTATAGTGAAGTATTTCGGAATATAATAACTACTTTGGTGGAACAGCAGTTAAATCTTGGTGATGTTCTTTAGAAATTCTGACCCTTGATCCCGTGACCAGAATTTTGAAAAATTCCTTTTGAAGTAACTGGAACATGTGCAGAAACTGTCTTCTGGGTTCAGCTGGACCAAGACATCAGTTTACTACCCCTCTGCTGGAGGTTTCTGCTACGACCAGTCTGCGAGCTGAATAGCCTCTCATTCACCTGAACAAAATCAAACAGCTCAAATTACAGGATGGAACTGCTTGAGGTAGTCCAGTGAATGATGGAGGTTGCCCCTTAAATAATGGTGCCAGCAGGCTGGTGATGTCACTATTTATTGCTAATCTGGTGTTCATGGATGGTAGCAAGAGCAATAATCTCATCACTACTGTTATGAAATTTAAAAGAAAACATGTAAAATTTGTCAGCCTGGGTGGTAAGCAGAAGACAGTTTGACTTCTTGCTTTCTTCAGCATCTGCTACCAATATACCTCTTTTTATGAACTTGGTTGTCTTTTTTGATATTCACTACTTTCTGAGATTCTTTGCCAGTGCTACACTGTTCTTCCGTGATAACTATATATATGTAGTGTTATTTCTATGCTTCCTGTGACTGTAGTGTGAGGGAACTTATTTTTGCTGGAATCTAAAGCTTAAGAGTCAAAGTTCACAAGGAGGTAAACCCAGCCAACTCCTAACACACAAGGCTGCATGAGCAGCATATGGGTTTTGTTAGGACTTCACTTTGTTACATAGCAGGTTTTCCATCTTAGAAAGTGTTCACACAAAGTTTTAGTCTGCTACTTTGGCTGTGTTTTATTTGTTTTAAATACAAGATAATGTTTACTTGAGTATAATATAGTGTTTACCTGAAATCACAGTGAAGCTGCTCGATTGGATTTTAATAGGCAAGCTTACCTTACTCTGTGATATCCTGTGTATAGGCCTCTTCAACTAGAAATTGGATTGTTGTTTTCACAGGAGGAAGACAGTGTAACTTCCATGGGCAGTCATTCCTTAGGAGAAGAAAACCATAACATTCAGAAGAAATATGAAGATCTTAAAAGGTAATTTTAAAAAAATCTGACTGCAATTATTTCCTACACTTTTCTGCTATAGTGAATTATAATGAGATAATTTGTTTTGCATAAAGGCAATTAGAAAAGATGGAATTTCAAAATGAAGAACTTGCTTGTCGGCTCAAAAAAGAAGATGAGAGTCTTCAGTGCAGTAAATTGCAGCTTGAAGAGAAAATTACAGAATATAATGGATTAACCAGACAACTGGAATCTGCTTTGGAAGAAGGGAAAAAAATGGTATTGATGATTTAATACATCTGTTAATCTTGTTTACCATTTTCTATTTTAAAATAGCGTTAAAAACAAATGTGCTTGAGAAGAAAAGATTATTTTGCATGTAGGGAGCAATGCTGAGAAGTTACAGGGAATTTCTGCCTTTTTAAATATGGATGGCACAATTCAACTTCTTTGTGGAATTGGGATCCTATTGAAATGAATGACAAAGTTCAGTGGACCAACATTTCTCTGTTATTTTTTTTGTGACAAATCAAAATGCTTTAACCACCTAATATTAAATCCCACACATATGGCAAAAGGTTTCTGAACAGAAGCTTAATCTTGCCTTTTTCTTATTTTCTTTGGAATAGGCAGCCCACAAGAAGGCTTTGCACACTTTCAATATTAAACAGATTTGTCATTTGTAGGAAGGATGCAAACAGTAAATCAAATGGAAGAGCAAATGTAGGAATTTAGATTGCAGTGAATTATATTAGTTTAATCAGAAAATATGTATGAAGTTTTAATTTCTGTCTCAGATTAATCACGTTGAAATAAACTGTCTGGATTTTCTCAGTACTGTCTGAGGATATTAATTTGGTTTTGAAAAAATAAAACGCTTGGCTTAACTTACAAATGAGTTACAGAAGTGTCTCCCTCCCAATAATATTACAGCTTTTTCGAGTTTGAAACTTCTTTCAAATTTAGCCATAATATTTCCCAGGTTTGTTTAATTTCTGTGCATGGGAAATAATTAAAGCATTGGATGACAGGATAGGAAATAGAGCTATTAATGCTAAGACATAAAAAAATAATTTGGTTTGGGCTTTAAGTGAAAGTAAATATACATCATTTCTCATTACTATTATAGGTAGCTGAAGAACTGGAAAAAATGTCATGTAAAGAACAAGCCCTTCAGACAAAAATGTTAGTTCTTGAAACTGAAGTGAGAGAGGGGCAAGAAGAGAAAAAACAACTCCTCTGCATATTTCACCATGTGAGTAAATAATACTATTTATGACTTAAGAAATTACTTACCACATCACTGTTTACAGAAAAAGTTCCTTTTACTGGAAAACGCACTACTAATAGAATTGATGCACACTTTTGGGAACAGCAAAATAATTCAACTTGACAATATACTTTGTATATTGGCACTTCTAATAGACTTAGCAGGTGCTCAGTCTAGCTAAATCACTGGAATAGTATTGAGTTTACATCTCTCATTCAATTCAGTTTTCCCAGCAAGGCAAAAATAAAAAAGTATGTATGAAGTTGTAATTTCGCTTTCAGATTAATCATGTTCAGTAAACATACCTAGAATTGAGTCAATGCATAACAGTTCCATAATGATGTAGTCGTATCTTTGTTTTTTTCCCCCTGAGTTGATTACAAGAATCTGGTCTTACTGGAATTTATGAAAAGCTTTCAGTTTATATACTAATGTTTATGTTTACACATAAACATAGTAAGTAACAAAAGAGATATTCTGATTTTTCAAAGTGTTAAGCCTTTAAAGGCCCAGGTTTTGATATGTTGATACTTACCTATTCAGCAAAGCCACAGTCTAAGAAGGTATTTGGGTGAGTAATATTTTCTGAAAACAAACAGACAAAAGAAGTCTTACTTACTGTTTTATCTAAAATATAAATATCTGAAAATATCAGCACATTTTCTGTTAATAAAATGTCAGACATAGCTGAATTCCCTAGAGTAGTGATGGCAAGTCATTTGCTTTAATCAAAGTTTTAATACAGTTACAGATTTGTCCTGTGATCAGTGATAATAAGCTACAAAGCTATTTAAAATAAATATGGAAGACACCAAAAAGATTTACTCTCGCCCTCCTAGACTTTCAAGAACAATATTTTGTATCCTGACTTGAAGCATTCAAGATTAAAATCAAGCCAATCTAAGTGCAAACTCTATTCAAGATTTAAGTAAAACATCAGAAATACGGTTCTGAATTCAGTATGCTTGAATTAATTTTTATCTGTATCAAGTGTAACTTAATGTCTGCATTTGCCCTAAGAAAAAAGTGTTCTTAAAACAAAATAAGACATTGGCTAGTGCTTTATTCTACTTCAAATACTTTTCATAGGAATTTCTTACTATGATAAAGTAAAATAGAAAAAAAAGAAAATTTTCTTTTCTTTTGTCCCAGAAATACTCACATATATGTTTTCAAATGGTTTCCATTTGAATCTTATAGTCAAAATATAAGTATTGCATCTTATATGCATCTTATCCGGAGCATCCAGAATTATGTACAGTTTTTGAAAACTACATACATAACAATGTTTGGCTGAATTCTTTAATTTAATTTATTTAATAATAAACTTTTCAAGATTTGGCTCTAACTCTTGTTAGAGGCCTTATACTATTTTGCAGGATTGAAAATATATATATCTGAGAGAAGAACTGTTCTAAGTTAATTAATTGCTTTTTATTCCGATTATATTTACATATAACTGAGAATGCATCATGGGAAACGATAAAATGATCTTATTCCTATTTTTGTAGTGAAAGTGGAAACAAACTAAGACTTTGAAGGTAACTTTATTCAGTTATTCATTCTAACATGATTATTTTTTTCTAAGGCTGGATTTAAATCTGAATACTATAATTCCATTTTTTAAAATTTGAATTTCTTTCAACCAGTTAACATCTGAAATTTGTAATAGACATAAAAGGAAATACCTGAATATCTGTAGTATTTATATAACAAATGATGTATGGTGTGCATCAAGTATGGAACTAATGAGCAGGTAGTATTGCGATCAATCATCTTTGTCACGTAAGGAACTACAGACATCAAAAATCATGTTGCATCAGAAATCAATAACAGATGTTTCCTTGAAAAATCAACATGAGTGAGAGTGTTAAGTCAACAACAGATTTAAGATGCTAGGAATCTTTCATGATAAAAATTCAGAAGGTTAGTTTTTATGTTCCCAGGCGTTTTTTGGATCATAAGCCTGTTCAAACACATTCAGTTTGGTCCTGACTGAACATAAATAAAGCTTCAATATTTTGTGGCCTTTTTGGGTATCTTCAGTTTTCTGGAGCCTCTGAAAACTTTTACAGGTAAATAAGGGTTATAAAAATTAGGGACTAGTTGTCTTACATTATTATGTTTGTTGATTTGTATTTTATTTCTAAGTTGCACTGCATTTTTCTTTTTTCTTCAGGATGAAAAGCACCATGAAGTACGTTTGAAAGAGCTGGAGAACAGCCTACAGAAGTCAGAGAACAAGAACCGGAGCATCCAGAATTATGTACAGTTTTTGAAAGCTACATACATAACAATGTTTGGCTGAATTCTTTAATTTAATTTATTTAATAATAAACTTTTCAAGATTTGGCTCTAACTCTTGTTAGAGGCCTTATACTATTTTGCAGGATTGAGTACTATAATATTAGTTCTTCCCTAGGAAAACTTCTGTTGCAGGCAGGGAAAAGCAAGTCAGTTGTTACTGTATATCCTACTACTGGCTGGTCACATAAGGAAAAGTTACCTCGTGTTACTGGTGTAAAGAATTGTATTATTCATGGAACAGAAGTGAGAAGGCGGACTGCATACAGTAGTGACAGGTGTTTAAGTGTGGGGTATGCATATAAAGTTGTAAATTGGACTGTGAATTTACTGTATGTTAGGTCTTGTGGTCCTGTGCTGTAAAATCTTATGTGACTCCTTTTAGTCCATGGTAAATGCAGATGATCACGGATTACCTTTCAGTTTGCATGGGGGAAGAGAACGCCCATGGACAGGTTGCAGGGACATTTGCGTATTTTAATTATTAAAAGTATATACATACACTTCTGTTACTGTAGAAATCTAGTTGCCTAAGATAATGATATCTATCTTATTAAGACAGGCAAAATTTTAGAGAGCATTAGGTTCCCTTCCTTTATTTCCCTGTAGCTTAGCAGCAATATAGCACAACCTACTGCG